CTGCTCGCTGAGAGGCAGCAGCTCTACCAGTTGTGCCACCGTGCTGCCTAGCTCCAGACATCATTAGTAAGCAAAGTGGCAAAAATGCTTTTTTCTTTTAATCACAAAGGTTGCAGACCCCTGCTTTAGACACTTCCAGACAGCGTACAAAATAAAGTCCGTACATTTTCTGTCATATCTTGTTTTGCATCTTTGTGCACGAGATAAACCCACGAGCACTGATGACTTGAAACTCAAAGTGCTGAAAACAAACTCTCTGTGAAGGAAGCAAAATCTTTTCCAGCTTCCTCCAGCAGTGCCCGTTTCAAGTTTTCATCATTTACTTATTAAAGTTGACAGTTCACGATTTGGTTGTCCTTTAACACTCTAGTAAAAAACTGTATTTTATAATGCATTTGAATAATTACTGCACTTATTTTCAACATTTATTAACTGGATGCAGCTGGCAGCAGGATGTGGATTGTTTAGTGATACAAGCTTGGCACAGGCTGCTAAAGTTGACTTGAGCCAACGACTTTTTTATCCAGCTTCTTTATACTTTCTTACTTTACAGTCTACAACCTATAATAACCATGTCACTGCTGAGAATACATTACCAGTGACGGCAATTTCAGCTACGATGCCTCTGAACAGCTGAAACAGAACGTGGTTAAATCGGCCGCCAAAACCTAAGAGGTCCAGTTAGCTCCTTCTAATGGACATAATATTTTAATGTTCAGTTTTCTGCTTCTGAAGAAGGGGTGGGTCTTTTAACAAAAAGTAGATTATGTAGATTAAAAAAAACAAGACTTTTTTTTTATCTTGTCTGATGTTTTTTCCCTCCTTTGTAAAACAAGTTGCTAAAAAAAAAAAGTTCCAAATTAGAAAGGGTTTGCCAACAATCATCTCGCATGTTTACGAGTAGAAAAAAAACACAAAATACTGGAGGTATTTGGAGCAGCATGATGTACAGCAGCAGCTTCATACTGAGGGCGAACCTCTTCTGCCTTCATACATCTCCTCCTACATGTCTCTGCGTGAGTGCAGCTACAGCGTGCGCTCTCAGGACATAATTACCTGCAGTGTCCCCTCAGTGAGGACTGAACTAGGCAAAGGGATCTTCTCCTACTCCGCTCCTGTTTCCTGGAATATCTTGTAAAAAGATCTGAAGCTCTCGACCTTGACCTAAGTGGCTTCAAACATCTGTTAAGTTCCTGACAAAAATCAATGCAGACATTCTTGTTTTTAGTTTTCTACACCGCCTTACAATCTAGACGTTTTTTTGCTACTTTTCCTTTTAATTATTTTATTTTCACTTGTTAAAAAAAATACCAGCAATTAATTTGTACACATCCTTTACGATTGTCTATTGTTGTCTTTGTTCATTTTCAGGTCTCTCTTGTAAACGAGTCCTTGAGGCTCAATGGGATTAACCTGTTTCAACAAAAGTTGAACGAATGAAAAAAAAACTTGACCTTTTTATTTTTTTTAAAGGGAGACCCAAATGTGACTGCAGAAAACACAAATAAAAAAATCCACAAAGAAACACCCTTCAGTAGCTTTTTAAGCAGACCTGAGTGGTGGTTTATTTTACAAGAGGACCAAAAAAAAAAAAAAAAAAAAAAAAACAATACAAAAAAATACATCAATACAGCTGTGAGTGTTGGAGCCAACACCAGGATCATCAGTCATTAACAGCTCCACAAAAACTCAGTACTCTCTGCCAAATGTGTTACATCTTATGGAAAGAGGCAATCATTAATTTTGGCTTTATATTTGTTAGTAATTAAAGATGTGCTGATACCTGTTGTCACTGATATTAAATCATTTCTTGTAGACAAATGCAAACATTCATGTTTATAAAACGCTACAACAGGGACAAAGGGTGTAAGAGTGTGTGACACAAGGAGTCCTGGGAAAGAACAAGCGTGTCCATAATTGCTCCCCGTGCAGCTGGTGACTGCCAGAGTCCTCCAGGTGTTCTCAGTCCAACTTTTGCACACATTAGAAAGTGTTCTTGATCTTGCTGGCTACCTGCACTAATATCTCTCCTGTTTTCTTCTGCCAGTTCAGGACATGTTTGGACTCGGCACACCACAGCTCTCCGTGACGGGGCTCTGCATTCTCACATCGCTTCCGCACCTCTTCCTGCTGTTCCTGATGGATGGAAAACAAGAAGGTTAAACACACAATGCAGCGCATGAAAGATCCTGGTTTGTGGAGAAACTGCTTCACGAATCAGAAAATAAGAGACAAACGAAGCTGTAATTTAGATGCGATAAGTGATAAGGCTGCACAAGCCTAAACAGAAGAGCTGTACCTCTGTGCCATGCTGCAGCTCAAACTTGTAGAAGAGAGCCCAAGCATCTCCCAGGTCTGGCTCAATCTTGACAGTCCTGAGGAACCACTCCCGGGCTTTGGTGATCTTACGTTCACTCCAGAACAACCTGAGGCGGCGAGAAATTTGAGTTTGAGAACAATCAAAAGTTGTATGTATTAATGAAAAAAGTCTGAAGACTGACTAGTTCAGATTTTATTAGGGGAAAAAAAAAGAAGCAAACAGTGAAAAATGTAGTCGTACTTCGCTACAGCGAGCAGAACGTGAGGATCGTGTTCACATTTCTTCAAAGCGTCAACGCTCTTGGTCTTCCTCTGAGGTCTGGCCTCCAAGAGCACGGCCTCAGCCCACAGGATGCCTTTGAAGGAGACGAGATTACACATATTACAACTATTGATCAAATACTCTAAAAAGAAACCCTTTTCTCTAAACCCATTATGTAACCAATAAATCAGTATTTGTTATAATAAATAGATTCTCAGAATCTTTTGTTTTGTTTCTTCAACAGTAACAAAGTGAATTTATGGTTGTTAGAAATTAAACAATAGTTTAGTTAAATGTTTTTAAAACTGACAGATAAGACAGATTTGCAATATGAGAAACCTTAGTTTAAAACAGGTTTCACTCAGTCAGGAGGAAAGAAACGTTTCCTATAAATGTAAAACAATAACTTTTGTGTAGATTTTTACTTTTCACCACAGGACTTCTAAAGTTTCTAAAATAAACAACGTATTTATAAAATGTCAGCATTTCAGAGTCACCTGAATTTGGGCACTCCTGCAGAGCTTTGGCCATCAGTGTGTTGGAAATGTTTTTCAGTCCGGCCCGAAACTCCAGTCTGACAGACTCCAACCTGGGTACCACAGAAGTTACTTTAGAAGCAAAGAACATTTCATCATGGAAAAGGAGAGCTGGCTAACGTGTCTTTAATTTAATAACAGTTCGGGTTTTGTGAAAATGCTGTGCCTTAGAAAGTAAATTATACAGAATTCTCATTATTTACAAATGTAAATAAAAATGTTGGTATTTTGTTGACTGTGGAGGAAACTCCTCCATCTTCATCTTCTACATCTTATCCAGTCAGATCCAGGAGAGAAACCCAGACATCCCACTCCCCAGCGACAATTTCCAGCTCGTTCTGGGAGACCCCAAGGCGTACCCAGGTCAGAGAAGATATACCATCCCTCCTTAGAGTTCTGGGTCTGCCCAGGGGCCTCCTACCAGTGGGGCATGCCCAGAAAAACTTCCAAAGGGAGGCCTTCGTGAGGCGTCCTAATCAGATACCTGAACCACCTCAACGGACTCCTTTCTTTGTGAAGGAGCAGCGGCTCTACTCCGAGCTCCACCAGGATGATGGAGCTCTTTATCTTTAAGGCTGAGCCCGGCCACCTTGTGAAGGAAACCAAGTTCAGCTGCTTGTTTTCAGGATCTCGTTCTTTGGGTCATGATCCAACCCTCATGACCACAGGTGAGGGTTGGAACATAGACGGACCAGTAAATCAAGAGCTTTGCCTTTCGACTCGACTCTTTCTTCACCCCGACCGACCGACGCAACGCCCTCATTACTGAGGACGAGACCCCCATCTGTTGATCCATGTCCCGCTCCATCCTACAGTCACTTGTGAACAAGACGCCCAGATAAACTCCTCCAACTCGACCCCTTTCCAACTTGAACTTAGACATAACTGAATTCAAACGGGACACCGCCCTTTTATTGTTGTATTTTCTCACCACAGCTCGGGGCACTGCGGGTTCTTGAGCCGAGCCTTCTCCAGAATGGCTCTGGCCCTGGTCAGCTGTCCAACCCTTTCTTCAAGATGAGACAGCAGCAGCCACAGGGGCACTGAGTGGGGGCACTTTTTCAACTGAAGAGAAAGAAAAGTAAACAATACATCATTCCACTCATTCAAAGTCCATGAACTGACGTAAATTCCCTCGACCTGTTGTTCATTTGATTAATATTCAACTACATCCAAAACATTGTTCATGCCTCACCCCTTGGTTATAACCCTCTCTGGCTCGGTCCATGTTTTCACACTGCTCCTCGATTTGCCCTCGCATCATCCAAAGCTTGGGGAAGTCCTCGTAGTGTTTCAGAGCCTCGGTGCACAAGTCCTGGGCAGCTTCGATGTTCCCCAACACCCACTCCAACTTCACCGACTTCATGAATACCTGCAGATTAAAAACAAGACAGACAAAAAAATAATGTTATATGGTTATAAATTTGAACGAATTAAAGACATTAAGGATTCCAAAATCACTGCACTAAATCCCAAAACATTTAATGACATTGACGTGTCACTAACCACTTTCCTTAGGCAAACCCTAAGTGCTTAACATCTGCAGTAACACCGTAAAGTTGTCTCATCTGACAGGACTATCAATACAGGCAACATTAAAGCAAACTCTCCAAGTCATATCCGTCAGTGTACGATGCAGAAATTAAAAGACTGCGGCCCGGTTGGCTAGACAGAATCATATGAAAACAGCACTACTAACATCTGACAACCTAAGTGCTGATGACTGATTGTAGGGGAAAAGTGCAAGCTTGAACAAGAGAAGCACCGAAAGTTGGTACAGCCACTTTAAAGACGAAACAATTTTCACTCACCAATAACACTGCTTTTTTTTTTCCCATTAAAAAAATAAATAAACACGAGTTGGAAGATCTCTAATAAATCTCCATTAGAGAAAAGTTCATTTGATCAGACAAGGGCAATTATAATAAAACCATATTTGGACACACAGGCTGTACAAATTTAAACTGTCTGAAAAAAACATGCATGTTTTCTTTATTTTTATTTATCGTTTGTGAGAGTTTGAACTGGGGACACTGCTTTGTCACTGTACTGTGCTTTCTCGTGAACGAACCCGGGCTGTGGGTGCACTGCTGCGAGCCTTGGCCAGCAGTCGACGAGCTCTTTCATACTCATTATTTTCAGACTCCAGTTTGATAGCAGCCAGCCAGATTTCTTCACTGTTGGGGTTAGCCTGGAATAAATAATAACAGGAGAAAAAGAAAACATGTTAGACTGATTCAGAGCTAGGCACCGGAACACAATCACTGACTCCTAGAACATGTGACACTGTTGTGTGTCAAAGGTTTTATCACCTGAAAGGCAAGAGCAAGGATACTCCTAGCTGCTGGCACATCTCCAGCCAGCCACTTGGACTTGGCCCCCATCAACCACAGGACCTCTGCTTTGGGACAGTGAGCCACAGCTCTCTGCAGCAGAGCCTCCAAAGACTCTCTAAGAGATGCAACAAGACATAGAAGAGTGACGGATGAGCACAGTTGCAGTTGATAAAACACAACAAATAAAAGAAAGTGAAAACAAGACTAGCAGATAAAAATGAGGAAACTTGAGGAGCTGCCAGCTTCTGACTTTTACAGTTTGTTATCTTTAGAAAACAAAGCTGATCACCTGGTGCCATGGTTCTTCTCAAAGTAGGCTGCTCTAAGCCAGACACTTTTCTTACTGGGAAACACCTGCAGGGCATGAGCATAGATGGCCCTGGAACACTCCAGCGCTCCATGAGCCACACACTGAAGAACACAAAGCAAATATCTTAAAGCTAAGTTAAACTCCAACAGCAACATATTACAAGATCTTTTATTTCTAGGTGTCAGGATCTGGATATATCTGGTGTGTTCAAACTCACGCTATCTGCATCCTCCATCCAGGTGTGTTTACGGTCCTCCTCATCAATCCCAATTCCTATGACAGCCCTTATGACCGCTTGGCAAGTAGCCACACTGCCTGCTTTGTCACACTCTTCTGCGTCCTGTGGGACCAGTAGAAAGATTTAGAAGAGGGCTGCTCAACTAAACTGCTCAGGGGGCCACAATTACTGAAAGCCAACAGATGGGGGGGGGCGCGCAATCCATCAATTAAAATCATTATGTAAATAAACCAGAATTTACAATGATCTGTTACCTTTTACATTTGTTTATAAATGCAATAAAAAGAGCCCAAAACACAAACACCCCCCCAATTATTATTATTTTTTTTAACAAAGTGGGCCAGATTGAAGTCACCTGCAATGGCCCACGAGCCACAAATTGAATAGCCCTGATTTAGAAGGAAAAAGACGCTGGGTGAATCAAAAATGCAAAATATGATAGCATGAACCAGCATCCATCCTAAGCCAGACATAACACAGGAATTATGAGGAAATTCATACTGAAATATTTGTGCAGCTGGCGTAAACACATGTGCTGTACTACGGACACGGGAAACTCCCAAATGACCCCGGGTTACTGATGAATATCCATGTAGATGACTTACAGTTTATAGCTCATCAGTCTTTTATAAGATACAATGTAGACTCTTTCTGTAGAAAATAACTAGGTTGGAGTAAACTCAGGCAACACATCGACCTAAAAAAAAGCCTTTTTGGCACACAACTAGTTGCAAAAGAGCAAACATTAGTGTGCTTATGTCCACTGTGTAAAATGACTGTTTTTCCTGTTCATCCTCATTTAGAGCCGTCAAACATTATTCAGGGTTTGCAAACAAACTTTTACCAGAGGTCGGAAATGCCAGATTGTTGAGGGAAAACTTAAACGGTGCTAAAGGGGACTTGTGTGAAAGCTCATGATTGCAAAATAACTAAACAGCACCACACAAAATGTCAGTCAAAGGGCCGATTTGTTGCTGCTGAGTTCAGATGAAATAACCGAGGGGCACGTTGCCAATTTGACTGGCACGTTATCAAAGTGAAATGAACCCTGCAGTTTGTATTCTTCCCAATATTTAAAAAGTACAGTTGAAAAGTTTTCCACATTAATCAGATGTTTTCTGTGGTATAAAAAAAAAACAACAACTTGATGCTAAAATCTAAAAATACAAGGTGCTTTCAGTATAAGTCTCAACTTTAGTGCTCCTCAATTTTTAACACATAATCAGCAATAATGTTATCTTTGACAGTTTAAGCAAACTATGTGCTGATGTTACAGTCCAATAATGAGCAAGGAAAAATGTCTGACCTTTACCAACATAAATATTAGAGCCCGACTGATACATTGATAGGGCTGATAATTTAGGCCAATATAGACGTTTTGGGGACCTATCGGTATCAGTGATAATGGTCGTATTATGCATCAATATAAACACTTCCAATATTCACCCCTAAAATGATGGAAACCAGCCATAATTGTACAATGTATCCAGCAGAGGGCGCAGGATAATTACTTTCAAGTCATTGCAGTTCATTTTAAGTTTCACGTTAGACATTCAGCACAGACAAAGCAGGGAGCATTAACTGTGTGGTATATTTTGCTGAACAGCGCATGGGAAGTTTATTTTAACTGATCTGTAAAATAAAAAAATATATAAATCAACATTAATAAATTCTCTTCAATCCTCCAATCTGCTTGTCATTAGCTACATGCCTATCAAGTTAGCAAGCTAATGTTTAGCATAGGCTATTGCCTTGTAAAACTTTATCCAGAACAATAAATCTAACATAGCGGTAAATATATAATAATGTTATCTTTGTCGTCCTCAATGAAAAGATTTGTTTGTCTGAAATATTTACTTCTCTGCAAAGAAAAATAAATGCTGCTGTGGTTAATACTACCAAAATTAGGCCTTCACCATACATGACAGTTTAAGTGAACAGGGAAGGGCATTTCTTTGTTTAATTTATATTTATGTAACACACTTGATAACTTTATGGTGAATAGTGGAGGATACAAAATGTGAACACATTAGGAAGACTGTTTTATGATCAGTGCACCTCTTGTAAATGTAGTGTGGGACTAGGTATAGCGTATTAGTGTGGATCTGATTTGCTTAGCTTCATGGTTACTAACAGCTGCATTAAATAAACAAGCGCCGCTCCACTCACTGTTTACTTAAGATTCTTGAGGGTGGACAAAGCAACAAAAAAATTTCAGCCATTATATCAGTTATTGGTGGTCGACCCCCCCCCCCCCCCCCCCCCATATTGGTATTGGCAATAGCCAAAATTTCCATATCAGTCGGGATCTATACATACAAACATTAAAGCCTTGTCCACATGAAAATGCTGTTTCTCCAAAATTAGTTTATCTGAAGTTTCTTTAAAAAAAAGATAGTTAAAGATATTGAATTTAGACTGTTCACACAAAAATGCAAGGATGGCATTTCAAGATTCTTTTTCACTCTGGAACCTGGTTTTCAAAAATAAAGTTTTGGGGCTTCATTTGTGTGTAAACGCAAAACTGAAACAATAAAAAGGAAAAAAATACATATACTTTGCATATTCATAAAACGCTGTTCCTGTGTGAATGGGGCTTATAATACCACCCTCATCTCAAAAGGAGAGCACATTCAAACTACTAAGGATTACTCAAAAAGCAACAAGTCCAGAGAGACTCTACAATCCACAGCCCAAAGGTTTCATTTGGAACAGCTCAAACCAGACAAATCAAATGTTCTTTGGCAATATTTTGATTGGTCGGAGCTGTTTTGGCAGCAAAAGGAGGATGTTCTTAACAACAGACTGGTAATGAAAAGATTCACCAGTGATCATTATGTAGATGTAATGACTGAACAGTGGTCACTGACAGGTGTAATATCTCATGACCAGAAGAAACTGTTTGAAGCCTGCTCCCTTCTTTAAGACGTGAGACACCTGAAGGAACAAACCTGTATCCACTGCTCTCGGTTGATCTCCACACCGTTGGCTCGCAGAGAAGTGATGGCTCTGTCAATGATCTTGTCTACCATCTGAGTGTTGCCGTTGGCCTCCTCCAACTTAGCAGCTGTGATCCAGATGTGGCGGTCAGTGGGGATGTTCTCTCGAGCTTTATTCAAGACACGGCGGGCATTCTCGTATGTTTCAAGACGGGCTAACGCCAACCATAGCTAAAGAAAAGCAAAACTGGTATAAACTTGAGGAAGTTTAGAAGTGATCCTACTCTGTACAACATTCACCTTCGTTACGTTTAGGTGAGCACAAAGCTTTATGTAACAACAGCATGTTTGGAGTATACCTCCACACTGGTAGGACAGCACTCCACAGCTCTGCTGAGCATGATCCTGGCATCCTCCGGGTCCTCCAGCTCAACAGCAGTTTTCCACAGTCGAACAGACTTTGATACATTCTCCAAGGCTACATGAGAAACAGTCACACATGATAAATATTTTCACCAACAGTATAAAATCACACTTTACATTTCAGACATGACATACAGAATATCAATATTTAAAATTTACCAACTTCCCTCGGTCAGGAGGGCTAGAAAGATAATGTATGTATCTACCCAACACTTTAAAATCTGTTAAAATGAAGACTGTTCTGTTTTTCAAATAACGGTGACGTTTATGATGAAAGTCTGACAAATTACTTTTGTCTTTAGTTGGAAAGGTTACAAAAGGCATTCAATCCAATGACAATTAGCTGATGGGAACGTTCATGGAGTCCAGATCCGATTTGCAGTTGTGTACACGACATAGGGATTGACATGATGTCAGTGTTTACTGAGCGTTAGGTCCTGAGCTACAGGAGAACAAAGCTTTACAACACACTGCTGTATTTCACATGGCAGCTGCAGCGTTGACTAATGCATCATCACACAGATAAGGGAAACAATGAATAAAGTTTGTAGGGTGATTTTCATTTCCACTCTCAGCGCAGGGCTGATTCAGTCAAAACTTTTTATTTCACAGAAGGTCGTGTTTTAAAGAAACTACAGTCAACTACAGCCTGCAAAAAAGTTACATGCCATCCTTTTTGGTTACAACAGTTTGGATGATTATCCTGATTAAATCTACAAGACCAGTATGAGGCAATCACACTGCTGCTGACTAAAGACATCCAGTATACTAAATGTGCCGTGCACCAATCAGAACCCACATGCTGCAGCTGCAATTTGGATGCAAAAGCATCAGATAACACACACCAAAGTGTTTTTATTCAACAGACTTAGTGATTATTTGGGTCCACACTAAAAATGGCAGCAAGTGTGGACAGAGCTGTTAAGTTTTAAACAATACAATGTAATAACTCTTAACCAGATCTACCTGAAAATGTGGCTTGTATGTATTTGAGACTGCAGCAATAAAAACACATTTCTAGGTCTCACCCACAAAGTACCTGCTGCTCTTCCAGACACTAAACTGATACATTTAGCTATCACTGGATTACTGGGCAGCAATGCATGTTTGAAAGTGGTTTTTAGTAATGCACATTTAGCGGTAGTTGGGTTTCAGAGTCTAGTGTGAAGGCAAAGGAGTGTTCTGTATGTAACAAAAGTAGAGTGGTGGCATTTAAACAAGTAGAGGCGGAGAAAGCTCTTCCTCAGAGATAACTTCAATCCATCTCTGTCAGCGGAGTATGCTGCCGGGAAATCTTGGAGCGTGGGGAGCCTGTGTGTGCATGTGTGTCAAAGCATTGACACCATGGTTACACACAGGGCCTGGCCTTGACACGAAGCCAAAATCAAAGCTGCCAAATGTAACTCTGATAAGTGTGTGTGTAATTTTATGAGACCATGAGCAGATTGAGACTGGCCTCGAGTTTTAGAGCTCTGGAGATGTGTCTTCCTTTTGGCAACAGAATCAAACTCATTAACACGAGCAATGCTGGGAAGGCATATGAACCTTTCCGTTCATACCAACAAAACAGCAACGTGCTTCTTCAAAACAATCACCATACAATCTAATAATAGATGTGGACAAAAGAAAAAGTAAAATAAAAAGCATCCCTTTTACTTCCGTATCTAATGCACAATGGTCTTACCCTTTTTGAGGACTCGTTTCTTAGCTCTGATGTCTGTCTCCAGCTCTGCAGCCCTGATGTAGATGCGGACAGACTGTGGGAGGTGACGAACAGCCTGAGCCACCACAGCTTTAGCTGTGTCACCAGGCTGGAGCCTAGCTGCCTCCAGCCAAACATCCTCACTCTGGTTGAAAGACAAAAAAATCTAATCTTTACAGATGATTTGGAAAATTTGTCACAGTTTGCATTTTTAATCAGGTAACAAGATTGTGGCATTTCCAAAAATACTCGGCAACCGATATATTTGGTATTCAAATACATAGTTTTATTTTATTTGCATCGCCACAAGCCACATTTAGCACGTAAGAAGAATTCTTCTGCTGAGCCGTGTTTACCTTAGGACACATCTCTGTGCCTTTCATGATCAGGTTCCTGGCCACCTGCAGTTTGCCTGTTACTTCTTCCAGCCTGGCAGAAGCAATCCAGGCAGGTGGGTGATGAGGATTAGTCTCTCTCACTGATTTCAGCAGCAGACGAGCTTTCTTGATGTCACTGGGCACAAGTTTTGTGCGATTCATCAAACACACACAAAAAAATTTAATTCAAACAGACCGCGTTATTTGTGCAGCTTGCCTCTACCTAATGTCTCCTCCATAAGTGGGGATCATGGAGTTGAGATCTGTCAGGTAACCCTTGGGATCCACTACTGTCTGTCCACTGACTGAGTCAGAAACCTGAAGTGTGACACAAGAAAAACAACTTTTAAACCCTCAGTAAAAAGATAACCAACACAGAGTGAGAAACACAAAGAACAAAAATGTGCAAGCAGCTTAGAAAATAGCAAAGGTAACCTGACTGAGCCTCATATCCATCAGGGTGTTTCTGGCTTGACCAATCTTCCTCATGTCCAATTCTCCTGTCCCAGGAGTCATCAGACCAGGGGTCATACTGCCTGGGTATGGTGTGTTCAGGCCACCCAACTAGCCAAAACAGAAAGCAAAAAATAATTGAAAGAAGCATTAAAGGGAATTTAGTTACAGCAAGTTTAAACAGCTTAAGAACACCGAATCTTAGAACACTTTTCTCACTGCTTTAAATAATCTATTGAAAAATATTTTAAATATTTTGCAACAGCTCTCCTATGCAGCAACTGAAAAATAATATGGCTCAGAATAATTTTTAAAATATTACACATGTACACACAAGCAATCCACTTCTTAATCGACAGACCATATTTTCATTTGTTTTCAAATGAACCTTTGATTAAAAAGAAGAATAAAAGCATGCACCAGGTAGATCAGTTTATTTTTTGGTGTATTTAAATGTAAATACAGCTCATGAGGTCACTGTCAACAAATGTACGTTTCAGCAGCTCCAGAGACTTGCATCTTTCCAGACTTTCCTGACTCCTGCTGGAGCAAAAGATAACTACAGCCAAATGTTCAATGGTGTGTTTAAAGCTGCATGTGTGTGATTTACACGAATACTCACCCCTTGTAAAGGATCAACAGAGGTGTGGTTTTCCCCAGTCTGCAGGTGCTTAGAGAAGAAGCTGTCAGGGACAGGAGTGAGCTTCTCATAACGGGGATTCCTTTGCCGCTTGTTCCTGGCATCTCCAACTTCGGGGATGCTCAGCCACTCCTCCTCAGACACTTCTGCCAATTTCCTCTGTAAAGAAATTAAAATTTTGTGATGTAATGACGATTAGATGTTGAAAAACCAAAATGTGACAATACTCTTGCTTGCAGAGTAAAGCTATATGTCTAATTTCATGGGATTTTACAATCATTCCTTTGAAAAAACATTAACGGCACACAACAACTGGGACCAAACTTTTAAAAATCAGGTATGTCAAGCATGCATATAAACAATGTAGATCAAGAACTGTACAACAAGCAAAGAGATTATGTGCAGTTTACCAATGTGACAGCAATGGCACACTACTGTTAAAATAATAGATAAAATGTCACGTGCACATTGTATTGCTTTTACAAGAAAGAGTTTAAAATTATAACTTTTTGCAAAGTAAAAATACAAAAATAGCAACACAAACAAGTCAATGCATTTTGTAATTTGCTTTTTTTTTTTTGCAAAATATTTTATATGTAAATAATTATTTTTTAGAAAATGAGAGAATGAGATGATGTGAAAAAGATACCTTTAGGTCTGAGAATTGCTGCTGGATTTTGGGTCGCTCCATACGATACTTTTCAATTTCTTCCTTTTCTCTCAGCTCCCTAAAAATGCCAGCCAGTCAATAACAAATGTTAAATCCTAATCATGTTGATATGTACTGCACAGGATTTAAAGATTAATATTTGATCTTTTGTTGCCAATAAGTAAACTAGATTAGTTTTATTGGTAACCTTCTTTCTTTGCGTCTTTCATCCATCCTTTTATCCAGAGCTGCATATATCGCATCTGCTTCTTCATCATCTTTTTCATAAGGCCCGCTGGAGAACAAGCTACCTGCATAACCATTAAACTTGAAAGAAAACAAACAATAAAATTAGAGATGGGCCTCAACGTACAAGATCCGGTACTGATAATAAAACTATTAGAAACCTCGTCATAGTTGGTGTCGTTCAGATCTTCGTCATCTTCCTCCTGGCTCTTTTTCATTTGGTCCCCAACGGTCCGTTTTCCCGGGGGTGCATGTCGATCATCCACAGGATCATTGGCATCACGAGCAGGACCGATATCAGACCGTGTGGTGAAACCAGTGGCTCTAAAATACGAAATATTGATTCAAAACTTCAACCCAAATAACTGCTCAAAGCGGGAAGCAACATGTTTTATTTCAGTGATCATTTAGTTGAAACAAGTCGTCAGTTTAAACTGTCAACAAACGTAGCAGAGCTGATACAGCTAGGTTAGCTACTTAGCATTAGGCTAGCTTACCCTCTGCCCAGACCAGGAACGTAACCCAGCGGAGCGGGCATCCCCAGAAACGGCTTCTTCTTTTTCCCCATTAGCGGAGAGGCAAGAGGAATTACCGGGGGCCCGCCACCGGCCCCCGCCGTACCGGTGCCTCCCGCACCTGCTTTGGACACAATTTTAGACCCTTGTTTTGCTGCAGCGGTAGCCATCGTTGCGTCTACGACGAACAGCCTCGCTAGCGGATGAAAAACAGTTTAACTTCCGGTCTCAGCGAACTCTGTTCTTCCTGAATAGTGTGTTTGTTTGTGACAGCGCCCCCAACAGGACAAACCGAGAAACGTTCATTTTATTCTCCCTTCGAATATTTTTGTTTGTTTGTTTGTTTTATTCAAAGTTTGAACGTTATGTGTTTATTTATTCAATCCAGTGATTGCGTGATTGGCAGCTTTACTTTGGGAAAATTATTAAATTTATCTCACATTAAAGGAGATTTATTTTCACAATTAAACCACAAGAGGGCGTCAAATCCAAAACGTCGTGATTATTATTATGTTGTTGTTTTTTTGGACTTTAATGCATCAACAAGCCAAGTACATTGCTTAAACATTACAGAAGTTTCAAACTCAGATTTTTAAATACATATTCAGCTCAAGTGGGGCATAAAAAATGCCTAAATGTTTGGTACCTAACTCTAATTATGCTTTATATTGAGCATCCTAAACCTTGTTTCAGTTGTGATGCTGTGTTTGTATAACCAAAACCTTGGAAATCAAAACCCCAATAAGTGTGAAAAATCCTTCTACAGATTATATGAAAAAATACCATGTCAAAAAGCCCAAGGTTTTTTTAGAAGTAAAAATAAAAATGAGTTTATTACTTATATTAAAAAAAAGTACAGTAATGACAATGTGTTGAGAATGACACTTCACCTGAATCCGACAGATATCAAGCACATTATTAAGATTCTGCACAAACGATGACTGGATACAAATATTGTTTTCTTGTTACCCTCAGCCTTTTAAGGTTGTACATTACTGATAAACATAATTCTGCAATAGAAGCTGTTGCCTTGAAAAACATATAAAGTTATCATATATTTCATCACTGCAACACCAAAAATAAGTAGAGACATTGCTGTACAAAAGAAGACATTTAAAGACTGAGTTGGTCCAGGAGCGCTGCCATCTTCTGTTTATGAGCTCATTTAAGATCGACTGAAGAGAAAAGGAGCACTGTTCTGAATTCTGATCAGCAAATTTAAAATAATGTTTTTGAAATCATTAACACCATCCTTGTGTCTAAAGGAGAGGAGGACAATTAATTCTGTTTTAAAGCAGTAAAAAAAAACAAAAAAAAACAAAGAGCCGTTGTTTACAATGACAAAGTCCATGCTCAATAATCCAGGTATAAAATCCAACATTTTTCAGTCAGGTCATCTGTTCACATGACCTGACTGAAAAATGTTGGTTGTTTACAATGGTTTATAAATGCTCACTGGATGGATAACTGGAGGATAACTGGATAATAAAAAGAAGAATGGGAGAACAGCATCAATGCAGGAACAATACATGTTGATCTCAAGTGATTTTTGCCAAGAACTGTTTCGGTTGTTTAAGTAAGAAAATTGCCAAACTACGTTTTGTACATGTCTCGACTACGCGAAATGAGATGCAATGTTGGTCTGTTTTCAATCCAAAGCTGATGTGATCTTATAATTCTGCAGAGTTGAAACAAACTTCATGAATAAAGTCTGCTTTTGGAGTGTAAAATGGATTCAACAGAGTAATGAGCACCGTCTGTCACATGACTTTTTATTCATGTTGGTGGGATCTCTTCCAGGATGGTCAAACAAATATGAGCCAAAACATTAACATGATGAGTTGTTCGTGTTTTTCAAAGATAATTCAAGATCTTACCCGTTCAGTTGAATTCACAAATGTAGATAATTTTGTGTTCATTTTACCTGTTACTGTGATGGACTTGCAACCTGTTCAGGGTGTCCCCCCACCCACCCCCCCGCGCCTCTCACACAGCTGGATATGTGATCCTCCCCACTTCTCGAAAAGGAAGAAGTGAGTAAAGAAAATGGATGGATGGATGGATGGATAGATGGATGGATGGATAGATGGATGGATTTTATCTGTTAGTTTTTTCATACTCCTTAATTGACTCCTAAATGATCTATAATTAATAATATTAATTATAATTAATTGTGATTCCTTTGCTTTCATACTTTACTTAGTCTTTTCTACTTTTGATTAGATTTTTTTTAAGTTCTACTTATTGAAATTTCTCTCTCTTTTAGGTTCATCGTGTCTTAGTTTTACTAATCTAAATCCCTAATTGCTCCTCGGGCGCTTACATATCTGCCCACTGCTCCGGGTGTATCTTGGTGTGATCGGTTAAATGCAGAAAACCAAATTTCGTCATTGTATGGAAACATACAGTGATGGCCACACATAGCAATTTACTTGAATTTATTTAAAGATAAAAAAAGGTGTTTTTATGATGTATATATTTCATATAATAAAAAATATTTAAAATGTATTTTATTTGTGTAGTGTTTTTTCTAAATACTCAAAGATGCTTTACAGGAGTTCAACAAATATAATATCAACTATGCATAACAACACATAAAAACACAATAAAAATCTATCTCCAGTGTCGTTACTTTGATTTGTCCTTGTGCTTTTTTAAAGAAGTTAAGTGGTAAATGATTTACAAATTATAAAAAGAAAAAAATTACATGCTGCTTTTATTTACTCTTTAGATAGTTTTGTTTTAAAAAAGTTTGCACTACATGAAAAGTACCTTTGTAAAAATGTAACTAATAACTGTAATTCTAACGTTGACACAAATGATTCATGGGACATCAGTTAAAAAATAATTAGGGTGCTCACTTTAAAGGTGCCCACAGTAAAGTATAAAATCAAACATTAAAAGTTCATAGTTTAGGGGAGTACATTTACTGTATGATCTCTATGTTGATGGTATATTTGCCTCTTTTGAACAGCTGTTAAAGAAGTTTAATATTCACTAATCACAACTGTTCTGATGTTTACAGCTGAGACATCTCTGGCTGTTTCCTTTGTGCCCCTTTAAACATTTTGTGGTTAAGATTTTGCAACGCAGCTCTGATGCTAAAGGGCCCCCCAGCAAGATCTATACACTGCTCAGTTCATACCATGAGACCAGTTTGGACTCCCTTAAACTGAAGTAGGAAACAAACCTTGAGGAATCCTTATTTCAATCTGGAGAAGGATAATCAAGAAAGTTTATTCATCCTCAACTTGTCTAAGACACGCTGTAATTCAATTCAAGTTGGTGCACTGGCTTCACTGGTCCAAAGTCAAGTTGTCCAAGATCAAAGCCAACCTGGACCCCGCATGCAATCATTGTAGACAAACTCCAGCTACACTCCTGCATACATTCTGGACCTGTCCCAAACTGCAGACCTTTTGGCAATCTATTTTTGACACCTTCTCTGGGATATGTGATAAAACTGTACACCCATCACCATTCATCTCACTGCTCGGGTGGTCTCTGTGGATACGCCCTTCAGCAAGTATGAGAAGGATGTGATTGCTTTTGGCTCTCTTGTCTTGCATAGTTGGAAGGACCCACAGCCCCCAGCATATGTTCACTGGATAAGAGAAGTGATGTATCATATTCCTTTGGAAAACATCAGATATACCCTGAAGGGTTCTGTAAAAAGATTTTGGGACACTTGGCAGTTTTTTTTATGTTGAATGTGTCAATGCCTGTTAGTTTATTTGTGTGTGTGACTGATCTGATGTGGGACGTGAGGGGTGTGAGGGTTTTTTGTTCTTTGTGTTCTCTTTTGTGTTTGTATGTTCAAAAAAAAAAATCGAAAATCAATAAAAAATTATGTTTAAAAAAAGTTTATACTTTTTCAGATGGTGCTGTTTGAATGAGTTTGCTCCAGTAGTTCCAGATAAAATGAAAGCAATTAAGGAATGTGGGTCTGCGCTCAATGCAAACAGAGCACTCGGCTGAATCTGATAAAATCCATGTGAAAACTCGAGTTACGTGACTGACCCACATGGTTCTAGTCTGTGTGGGTAATGTTGACATTAATTTTAATATTTGAGCTGGTTCAGTAGTAACCAAAGACCTATGGTAACTGGCATCTGCTCACAAATGTTCAATTTAAGACAAACTAAACACGTATCAGAAAAAAAAACATTGATTAGAGTTGATTTCTTACTTTTTGATCATTATGATTTTTTTGTCCAGTCTTACCAGGGTGTCAAACTCATTTACAAAAGGGGGCCAAAATTAAAACCTTTTTCAAACTGAGGGCCACTTTCAGAAACTACTCAAGTCAGATACTCAGCATCTTTTCTTGGTTGCAGGTTCCTTAACAAGAGTTTGATTGGTCTCATTTGATGTTCTCTGTTGTGCTTCCAACATTATAATCAAAGATTACTGAAAAAAATTCTAGCGATAAAAGTATTTTACATTTAAAATAACATCTTGGGGGCCAGACAAGATGCCAAAGAGGGCCACATTTGGGCCCCGGGCCTTGAGATTGACATGTGCTTTATGACTTTGCAATGAGTACCTTTAAGGAAACTCAACATCATTTTTGTGATCTCTAAGTTTAAATATTTAACAAGATATATGCCCTGCAACAAAGCTTTTGTTAATTCTCACACTGTCGCGATGCTTTCCAATGTGAACTTCAGGCCATTTTCTCAAGGAGAGTATCAAAACGTCAAAGATCATTGGGGCTGTATGGTTGTAATGATTTCCGTTAATTCCCATCAGACGTGTGCGAGTGCATTCCACCTCAAACGAATCTAACATCACGAGTTAGGAAAACCCACATTATCTGCGCGTTAGTGCAACACGAGACACGGGACAGCGATGAGTAATTACCTCCTAACATGACATTTCTGGGTTCCATCTCACGAGATGAAGTGGGGCCATGCATCAATTAGCTTCAATCACATTAACTTCACCCGTCCACACTCGGAGCCTTGGATCCAGCCTTTAAATTTCTCTTCATTTACATCGCCTGAAGGGCCAACATTATTTCACTCGTGGGAGAGGATGTTGTGATGGAAATGGACTGTCAGACAGATTAGATGATAAATAGTTCACACATCCAAGGGCCTATATTTAAAACGAAGGTTAACTTGATCCTGGGTTTACTCGCGAGTGTTTAAACAACTTGGATTTTGCTTGAATAATTAGAAGCACATTACAAA